ATCCAGAGGCCATTCCATCATGAAAAGCTTTTAATTAGTTTCAGGCAATTGTAAAACCATTGTGACGGAAACTCAAACAAATATCTTAAAACAATCTTCATTGTTTAATGGGTGCTCATTATTTATTCAATTTGGGTTATGAAAGTAGTAAGCAATTAATTAGCTTGTGTAAATAAACATGTTTTATATAATCATCTAATGTTGATTCAAGAACGGCTTATATTCATTTTAAAATAAGATTATTAATCAAAAGAGGTCCTTGATAGTTCTGCTTGGTTGTTCTCTAATGATCACGTAACACTATCTAGCTGCCCTAGAGAGCGCCAGTCTGTGATAGTATGGAGACGAAAATCCCACTGAGATGACCTTTTAAGCCCACAGGTCACTTATTATCTTGTCAAATGATTGTATTGGTTGCTCAAACATTGATAAAAGGAAAAATCGTTACTCCAAGATTAAGACTTATCTTACACACCCTTTCTAGTAACTAGCTATAGTAACGCTTCTTGGAAATTTAAAATGTATTCATCATTGTAGTAAAAATGCATCAAAAAAATCTTCCATGAAGACTAATGAAATATTCCTGTTAGCTCATGTATGGATGTAACCCACAGAGCATAGAATAAATATAGAGTTGCCACTCCTATACCTACAGCTATACCAGTAGTGAAGCCGATTTCAGCCATCTTGGTAAGAGAGTCAGGCTCGGAACTTTGAAAACACGGCGTCATTACCACTGTGTTATTCTATGCTACTTTATGCATTAGATTAAGCTACCGCTTCTAGGATACATATAGAACTATCCCCCCTTCGATATTGACCTAGGACTCTGCCCCGCGGGCTTTCAAAGTTCTGAGGTGAGAGTTTTAAAAGTAAATATTGATTGGTGGTTTCCATGGTAACAATATAATGGTTTAAGTTTAAATGTAAATGCAGACTGGGCCGGCCGCCATCTTGGTACGAGAAGCCTGCTTCACTCCAGACGGCAAGTGCCGCCTCTATATTTATTATATACTCTGTGATGCAACCATATAAAAATCCAAGTGTGTAAAGCACACTGTACAAACACACGTACACAAATCACATTGTACAGTAGACTCCCTCTCATCCGGACTCCTCGGGACCGAGGCCAGTCCGGATAACGGTTTTTCCGGTTAAACCGACGACCCCAAAAACTCGTTAAAACGGACCATTTACTGTGATATTCAACTTAAATTTAGGAGAGCATTGTATTTAGACATGTGATCACTGGTCTCAAATCTTTCCCACGAGAACAGTCGTTTCAGTACTGTCCACTTCCTGCCGATCTAGTACGGTTAAACCAATGTGCTGATAAAAATTGTCCGGTTAAAGAGATGTCATTTCCGCCGAGTGTAGTCCGGTTAAAAGGTGTCCGGATAAGAGGGAGTCTACTGTATCTGTATGTTTGTAGTGGTACGTAGTGTGAAAATCAAAAGTATATTGCAATTAATAACGAACTTGTTGTTTTGGAATGTGACATTCCTCGCTAATGTTTTATGCTAATGCCTTTATGTTTTACAACCTCTCAGAAAATTACTCTACTGTTTTATTTAATTCAATGTCGCAATATCTTCATTCTTTAACAATACAGTTTACGTTTACAATTTCTTTCCAAACCATTTTGTAGAGCTCAAAAAAACAAATAATTTAGTATATTGAAGCATTGTTGCATGCCTAACAACTACGGAAGAAATCCCCAAAAAATGTAAATTTAAAATTATGTTATTCTTATGGAGAATAAATAAACTGTTGTAGCTTGCTTGTCTATGGACATATTTTAATGAAAATTTGATATTTTGTTTACTTCATACTAAGCTATCAATATTTTGATAAAAACCCCCTATTTTCTTCCCTGTAGCAGCAGACCTAAGTACTCATTAAAATTAATGATATTTAAATAGGAAATATATCTTACAATTTTAAGGAAATAATTTAGTGGAATTCCAGCCAGGTAGATGGAAATTCGCTTAGTCTGCAGGTTTGCTGCGGCGAGAGAATTTTTTTCGATAGGACGCTAGTCACGATCCTGGAATGGTTTTTCACATAAGTTCAGGCTAGATCTAGGGGTCGCGACATCACTTAGATAAAATACATTGGTGATTAGGCCGGATTTTAACCCGGGACCTCAGGTATCTAAATCCTGGGATCTACCACTAGACCAGCTCGCTTCCCTACAGATAACTTTTACTCAAGTTATTGTGCCAAAGTATAAGTAATTAATAAATAATAAGCAAGTATGTAAATTTGAACAGATGATGTTTTTGGCCTCTAGGGACCTCAAAACGAAAAAATAAATTGGCCCCTCTGGGCTAGGTCTTACCATGAAACCTATTATTTTATTCCTAATAAGGGAAATTGGCTGAAAAAATCTAATCGTCTTTAGTAAAATAAGTTGCTGCCTATTTGAAAAATTTGAATAAATTCACAACTGTTAATCAGAATACATTGTTGGTCAGCATTAGTAGTGCTAATGAGTGAGAATGTGCAGTGTCACTCACTATGCATACCTTTGCAGTTATTTTGTGAGTGCCTCATCTGAAAACTGTGGCCTCACACATGATGTTGGTTTTCAGAGTCCACCCACTTTTTTACCCACTTAACTTTTATGAAAGTGTAAAAAAACTAAATTATTTGCAATGTGAAAATTGATTGTTTTATTTTTTTATCATTCTACAAAAAGCATAAATTTAGTGTTTATAATTTAGTTGAAAATTATACAAGTAGTTCTAAACGATTCAAGCCATGAATAACAGTAATCAATTTCAAAATTTAAGTAATATTTCATTAAAACACCTGAGTGTTTACTTACTTATAATTCAAGGTTGATTTTGTAACTTATTAAGTAAACATGTCTTATCGATAGAACTATAGTAGAACCATGAACATTAGAGAAGTAATGAACACTTTCAAGTGGTTGCCAGGCGCCAGATCTGGAGTACCTGCCATCAATCACGACAAGTGACAACTACAGCTAGGGTGTCCCTCAAAGAGTTTTAGACGTTCAATTTTATATTACTAGCCTAAATATGAACCAAACGCTTTGAAACGTTACACCACTTATACTTTTGAAAATATTTTGTGAAAATTTCAGCTTTTATAAAATTTGTAGAATCAAAATGGTGGTTATAATTTTACCTTGCTTCCTATAAAAAACTCCTTTCTTGAGTTATTACCTGATTTGCATTGCAGTTTTATACCTTATTGCTGATTAGCTGTTTGATTGAAGAATGCTGCAGGAACCAGAAAAAGATTTAACTGATAATGAATAAAAGTTTGAGGAATTACTTTTGTTGTTTAACAAAAAGCGAAGTATTGTGCAAGGAATATTGCTTGTGGGAACAATATAGTTAGACCACTAACAGTTTCAGATAATTGTCCACTTCCCTAATGTTGGATTACTAGGTGGCTTAACTCCTGGGTAGCAACCTGAAGTTGTCTAACTGCTTCTGTAATGTCACCAAAAGTAATATCCCATGCACTTTACCTTTTTCAAAAATTAATTAAAGTAATTCCTTGAACTTAAATTTGAATCAAAAAGACTTTGGTTATGTTTTTATGGCTCAAGCAATACAAGATGTCTGTTATTTAACCATGAGTATCAAAACTGCAACACAATAAACAATACTTGAAGGAATTAGAAAACCATACAAACTACCTTGCTTTAAATTTATTGGATAACAGTAACTGTGTATATAGATTGAAAAAATGTGATGTTTTGGACTTGAGTTATTGTTTTTAAAATTTCATGGTCTTAAAACTTTGTAACAAATATGGAAAGTTTGTGTGTTAGCTTTTTTGTTGAATAACTACTGTATTCTGTATCATATTTGCTTTTTGTTATATTTATTTGAAGGCAGATTGTAAATTAAATAAAATTAAAAAAAAACTGCAACACAATAAACAAATCAGGTGACAACTGAAGAAAGTAAGTTTTTACATGAAGCAAAGTGATAAAATTTTCAAAATTCCACTATTTTTTCATATTAGAAAGCTGTAATTTTTTACACAATTCTTCAAAACCGTTTCCAATAATTGTATTCAGTTTCAGAGCTTTTGGTAGATAAATGGGCTAGTACTAGCAATATAAAGTAAAAGCTCTAAATCTCTCTGTGGGACACTTCTGGTGGGTTATGCCAACAATAATTAAAATACAATATTTCATAAAAGTACTGTACACTGTACCTATTTATTTTAGATAAAAGATAATCATCAAATAGTTAAAATTCATTGTACAATCGTTATGCACAAACACCTGTAATTTTTACATGGAGTGTTTACAGTTAATTATTAGTTAAAACGAGGACTCAAGAAACACTGGTCATATTGACCTAATTTGAAGTAACAACTCGTAAAATGCAGCCCACATGACATAAATGACAGGATGCAGCAAATTTTGACAGTTTTGTCTATTGTCAGAAAGTTTCTAGTTGAACACAAGGTTACAGTCGTCCTTTATTGTTTTTTTACAAGTTATTGATTTCTCTCTGGCATTTGGTTAGTATTTAGAGTTTACTAATTGATTAATTAAACACTTACTGTAAAGTAGTTTGAATGCACAATTCAGTTTTACGTTTTTAAACAGCTTGTATGCTTACGGTAACAAAAAACTTCAGTGATTGAGCTGATTGAGATTGAGCTAGGAGGTTTACTTATTACGCTTACTCGTATTTGCTGATGTAGAATATAATATTAATTAAAGGTAATCTACAGTCATGTTTTTATTAATCATTCATCAGTAAATCTTAGTTGGGGTCCCAATCACAGCGGTTATCTGCTGCTCTATGTACTTGAGTAATCAACATATCACAGAAAGCACTTAAAAAGGTTAACCCACTCAACACTGTTATCACCTGAAGTTTAGAAAAGGCGGTGTTATCTGAACACCCAGAGAGTGCTTGATAACAGCTGATTGATAATGACTGTGATTTGTTGGCTAATTGTTGAACGATCTATAAGGTGATCATCAGTTTGTGTTGCAGGGTAAGAACCACAAGTGATGGGAGACATGGACGACCACACCACCCAGGCAATGCTCAACAAGAGCCCTAAACCCCACCAGGAGGGCAGCAAGGCACCGCAGTACATCTTTACCATCGCAGGTTTGTTACCATAACTTTATTGATTGCAAATGCTCAATAACTAACCTGTGTTGTAACAATCGAATACTCTCTTGAACAACTAGATATGTCTGTTTGTCTATATAAAAGAGAATTGACATTAATTATAAACAAAAAGATTTGTTAATATTGCCAATATTGGTCAAGCTTAAGTGCCTAACTAGCAGTGAAACGGCTCTTAAAAAACAAAAACTGCAAACAATTCACTCTACAGTTTTGATTAATGGAATGATGTGTGAAAAAAAAACTTCTTGGAAAATTCTGGAATAAATAATATGATTTATTTTCCTACTATTGGTAGGTATATAAAATACCCCTATCCCAGCAAATCGTCAGTTAAAGTGAATTTCCATTTATCTAATTGGGTTTAACAAAAAATATTTCCTTACAAAGGAATTTTTTGTAAGGCGCCACTTTTTTATAGTTTAGTTGAATACCAGCACTCACAATGGTGAAGTCATGAGTGTGTGTTGTAAGTTTCTCCTCAGGGAGGAGTTAGAAGACGAGGCTCTACTTGACCCTTGTGGAAGTATCAATAGACGATCGATAAAAAATACATAGTGATACGTAGTATTTGGGACGGATACGTATCACTAGGCGTCACTAGATAGGATATAAATAGAAAACTGTAGTGATCAATGAAAAAATTTATTTTTATCAATAAACAAAATTAGTGATATCATTAAGAGTACATGAAGGTCGAAAAATAAAACTGGGAGTCTAAATAAAAAATATTTATTCATACAAAACTGATACAGTATTTAAAACCACAACTAAATAACACATCATATTCAACTTGGAACAGTCAGGCATTTTCTATTTTAATTTGCATAGATGAGGATTACCTAAAAAATTTAAACACGACCATTTGAGCAATGACAATGCAAAGTTTGCTGGAAATAAAGAGTCGCTGGTTTCTTCTACAATTTAATGTAGAAAATTAAATGAATGTCTAAGGAAATATAACCAAAACAGTACAATCGTAACAGCACATAAATAGAAAAATTAATGTGAACAAAAAGAAAATTATGGCTATTTTAACCCGTATTATTAATATGCCTCGAGTGAACTGGACTGTTTTGAGGTTCTGTGCATGTGTCACTGCGCATCAGTCCGGGCGCGATTATCACTCAGACTGGTACCCAGGGCAGTGGTCCACGACTGTATAGCTACCGACTCTTGCGATAGACGCTCCAAGCAAAACAGGAAAACGCAATCTCCGTCAGAACAGTGCTCAACTACTATCGCGGAGCGATTATCGCCACGCGACTATCGCTGCAATCGCTCCAAGCAAAATAGGCCCTTAGTATAAAATTTAAAAAAACTGTCAAGTTTGATCAAAAAATATTCATAAATAAGCAAACTAGAACATTTTACAATATATTAAACATTTTTTGAATTTTTTCTGTTACTAATAACCGTAAAAAAACACTTTGATTTACTATATTATTTGTTTTCTTAAGCTCTTTTAAACGGTCTAGACAGTAACTGGGAAATTTAGTGTTTTGAGGGTCAAAAATGAGAAAAACTATTTTCTACCCCACATAAATCCCCTTTCCTATGGTCTGATGATCATGCTCGTTTGCTAAATCATTCAAGTTTATCCCGCTTTACACCTTTAAACCAAATTTCATCAAAATCGGACTAAAATTTCTCAAGTTATCATATATATATATATACATGTAGTGAGTCGGTGGCTCAGTCGGTAGTTTCCCGGACTTCGGGCCCAAGGCAGCAATGTCGTGTGTTCGGATCCTGGTCACTGCTGAAAACATTAATAAGATAAAAATGTTTATGTAAAAAATACAAAATGGTGGATGTATAGTTAACAAAGTGATTTTGAAAAAAAATTATACTTGATTTTCTCTTTATTTTGGCCCAAGGAATCACTAGGTAAAATATGTCCCCACCTTTATTGAACACCCTTTATACATCTTAAAACTATGTCTTTCCCCTACTTTTCAACATAGTTTCCTTGGAAATTCAAACACTTATCATATATATGGACTAACTTTGAAATTCCCTCTTTAAAAAAATCACCCACCTATGCCTTGAGCCATCCCGTGACTGCATCTTTCAGTTCCTCATCATTGTCAAATCGCTGGAAGCCAAGCCATTTTCTCATGTGACTGAAATCCCCCTTTATGTATCAGGTGGTAGACGTTCGGGGCCAGGTCTGGGCTGTATGGAGGATGTGAAAAATCATCCCATTTGAATTGGTCCCAAAGGTCCTTGGTTTTCTGGGCAGTATGAGGACGTGCGTTGTCATGCAGAAGGACAACACCAGACGACAGAAGACCGCGGCGTTTATTTTGGATCGCCCGTCTTAGGTTCTTCAGAGTTTTAACATATGAATCCGCGTTGATTGTTGCACCACATTCCATAAACTCAACCAGCAGCACCCCTTAATTGGAGTCCCAAAACACAGTTGCCATGAGCTTTTTTTTTGGGAAAATCTTGCCGGGCTTTTGTTGGTTTGTGTGGCAATGCTGTGTATGACCCCACAACTTAGACTGTTCTTTAGTCTCAGGATTCACGTATTTGACCCAGGTTTCATTTCCAGTCAAAATTCGGTTCAAAAAACTTTCTCCTTCCTTGTCGTATTGAGTCAAAAAGTCCAGAGCCGAGGTCATTCGTTGAGTCTTGTGGTTTTCCGAAAGGACTTTTGGGACCCACTGAGCACAAAATTTATGGTAACCTAACCTGTCAGTCACAACTTCTTACAGAACAGTCCTGGAAATTTGAGGAAATTCATCCGAAAGTTCTGAGATGGTGAATCGTCGGTTATCACGAATGGGTTGATTTCCTCAACCAGTTCATCACTGACCACAGATGTCCTGCCACTTCTTTCTTCATCTTGCCCGTTCGTTTGGCCATTTTTAAACGAGCGAACCCATTCCTGAACAACTCCTTCACGCATTATTTTAGGTCCATACACAGCACAAAGTTCTCTATGAATAGCTGCTGCCAAATACTGTTTGCCCACGAAAAACCGAATCACAGCACGCACATTACACTTGGCGGGATTAACGATTGCAGTACTCATTTTGACTAGCGACGGCAAAAAAACTAGCACATGGACAACCCTTAGACTACCACGGCTGGACGCTGACTGACCTGCGACACGCGCAGTAGCAAAAATGGTCACGCTACCCCCTCTATTTCCCATGCAAGAAGCAAACGGAGGCTATTTTCCGAACTGCCCTCGTATATATAAATATAAAAAGATTAGAACGAATGGTGTTTTTGGCCTCTGGGGACATCAAAATGAAAAAGTAAATCGGTCCCGGGCCTTGGTCTTACCGCGACCCACCTACGGTAATAGCTACCCTATAGGGAAATTCACTAAAAAAAGTAAATTGATTATATGTCTAACTGAAAACAAACAGTCTAAGTACTTTATAACCTATAGAAATAGTTTCTTTCCTATTATAAGGTAAGTTCGCTAAAAACAATTGATTTTTAAGACTAATTTTTAAACAATATACCATTGTCTTACAAGCTATGTTTTGGCACATCTTTATGATTAAGTGTGAATTTAAATGTGTTCAGCACATTTGAGAAACAGATTAGGATTTAAAAAATGAAGTTCTGGTACCTAAAAATGAATGAAAATCAAAGAAGATTAATAGCTAACATGATCTGTTTGCAGCAACAATGTGTGCCTTCTGCGCGGGCACGGCTCTGGCCTGGACAAGCCCTGCACTGCCGGCTATCATGCCAAAGGACAACGAGACCAGTATCAATGGGACATTAGTGATCACCCCGGAGGAGGGGTCGTGGGTGGGGTCGCTGCTGCCTGTCGGAGCACTGCTGGGGGCGCTGCCTGCTGGCTACTTCAGCAACCGCTTTGGCCGCAAGCTAACCTGTGCCTCTCTCTCTCTCCCGTTTGTAGCTAGTTGGTACGTGACCAATCCTACAGCACTCAACAATGTCAATGTTAGAGGACAGCAGTCAGAATTGAAATCCATTTTTTTAACACTGAGGTGTGACAAGTAAAAATAAACTTTTGGCCTACCTTTAATTTTTATGAGCTCAAAAGTTGAAACTTACGTTGATGACGTTTTATCAACTTTGTAACAATTTAGAAACTGTTATTTTCTATCCACCTAGGAGTACATTCACAATTTTTCCAGAAATCAGTTTTACTCTACCTTTGAGGTTTTTAATTAAATTAAGAGTCTGTGCTTTTAATTGTTCTGATCGGACTTATTAATATACTATGGACCCCTTCTTTTCTCTGTGTAAATGACTCCATGGCGATATTTTCATTTACCCACTTGACAAACTATGTTTAAAGTGTTTTCGTTGTCAACAGCACGACTTGCCTTACTGGGAATGCTGTTACCGTTGCTTTTATTGATATTCCATACAAATTTTTACCCAAATGTTTTTACAGGCTTCTGATAACCTATGCCTCGTCTGCTATGCAGCTGTATCTGGCCAGAATTATAGTAGGAATAGCTACTGGAGCTTCATCAGCTGTAGCCCCGATGTATGTTGGTGAAATAGCCGAGGCATCAGTCAGAGGTTAGTGTACTGGAAGCCTTATGAATTTCTCTACATTGGATTCAGATTGTGCATGGAAGCCACTATTTACTTTTGTTATAAATAAAACATATTTAGAGGCAAGGGAGGATATAGACTAAGGATATCTAGCTGTAATAACATATGCACCATACTAGTGTTCACACTGGCCTTGAATCTGCATTGATTTGTTTCATAAATATTATAGTTTTGTTCCTCAAATATTTAGTATACGATTTTTAAATGATAAATTATTCCTCCTCGATGCTCATGTTTCTTGATAAGAAACATTAGTTTTAGTGTTGATGAGATTGTTTTCTGTTGCCTCACTATGGAGGAAATTCACAATAGTCGGGTCCTGATCGTGCCGTGGTGTGTTGGTGTTGTTAACGATTAATATAATGAATCATAAGAAAACAAGCTAGATGAATTACGAGTATATGATATTTTAGATTTTTATCAGGAACGGCTATCGCTAGTTCAATGGTTTTCTAAACATCTTAATATTCACAATCATGTTAATGTAAAGTTAAAAGTTAGATTCCAGAAGGCAATTGGTGTCTTCTGTCATCTGTCCAACGCCTTTGACTGTGTGAGGCATTATATTCTTCTAGAAAAACTTCAACTATATGGAATTGTCGGTTCTTCTGGCACCTGGTTCAAATGACAATCAACCAAGCCAAGAAATGGGGCAAACCTGACAAAAAAACTAGCACCTGACACAAAATCACTTCAACCACACAAACTTATGAACGATGTAACAATTAATATAACACCATCTTTAACAACTCTCTTATGCCTTATGGTTTTATGTTTAACTTTTTTTTTATTTTTAGTTTAGTTTATAGTTTTATTTTGTTTTGTGTATATATTGTGTAATACTTCAAGAACGTTACCAATGATAAATCTATAACATTAAAAATTTATCAAACTGTTGTCCGGTTCTTCATGGTGTTCCTCAAGGGTTTAAAGTTGGACCTCTTCTTTTTATTCTCTACATAAATGATCTAGCAGCCACATTGGATTCCAGAATCGTATGGAACTTTGGTTCAAACAAAATGGCCTTCATCTCAACCGTTCAAAAATGCTCTTAAATTCATTTTCACAATCCACAGTTAAATGCAGAAAAGGTAACCATCAGCCTAGATTCTGGGGAACAAAGTCAAAGTCATCTTTATTGTCACAAAACGTTTTTTTAATGCTCTGGCACAGCCAGACAAAACAGGTGACATTGTCAAACTATACTAAAATAAACTAGCTTATATTGGTAAAAATAAATACATAGTAGGAACAGAACAAATCAATGCTTCTGAAAACACAAAATTTCTAAGGTTTGTATATGAATAACCATCAAAAATGGACAGAACATCAATTTCAGGTAAATAAATCTTTAGCCAAAGCTTTTTTTGGCTTAAGAGTCAACTTCAAAACAGCGGGACTAAATGATGCTTTAACTGTTTACCATTCCTATTTCATGTTCAGGGCTTGCTATGGCATTATTTCTTGGGGCAGCTCTCCGATCATAGATACCATAAGAGTTTTAACTGACACGGCACCTCGTACTGCTTGTCGTCCAATTTTTGTGCATTTGAAACTATTAACAGTTCATTCTTTGAAAATATATCGACTATGTATATTTGTTAAAAAACACTTGACCTCAATCACGTAAAAATTCACCAACATCCATATAACACTCGACATAGAAACACTCTTCAGTCCCCTATCCATAGAACTGTTATTTATGAGAAAGCTCCTTTGTATATGGGTAGGAAACTATTCAACCAACTCCCTAACCAAATCAAATTGACAGAAAACATGGATATTTTAAAAAACTTTGTAGGGTACAAAGGGAACTACTTTGTTCTTATTCAGTTGAAGAATATTTTTGTATTTTACTTCACTCTTTTTTGTTATATTTTAAACTTATGACCTTATATTGAATATATTACTGATAAAATCTATCTATACTTATTTAATACGCAAGCACGATTTTTGTGACAATTACTCCTCCGAAACTACTGAACCGATTGACACGTTTTTGGTGTCATTGGAAAGAGCGTAACGTGAAGTTGTGCAGGAAACTTTCTTTTTAGGTAAATAATTAGAGAGTGAGGCCCTAGGGCCCTTTAAAGTTTCGTATTCCTCCATAAGATTAACATGGGAAACAAACATTGTTTTGAAACTCCAGCTGTTGTCAGAAATTAAATATTAAATAATTCGTTTCCATGGAAGCATGAGAAAATTCACAATGTTTAAATTTGCTTTGACATTTTATTGTAAACAACCAGAACTGTCAAATTTCTATTTCACAAATTCCGACAGCTGATCCAAAAAAATGCATTTTCCCTTGACCATGTAAAACAACTATGTGGTAGGTTTATTTAATCTTAAACTTTATGATAGATTATTTATTATAAATCTATTTCAATGATTATGAAACAGATTTTACCCGTTGCGAAGCAAAAATTAATAGTGAGAAGAAGAACATATGTAAAACAGTCAATGTGTAAATTTTCTATGTTGTATTAAAAATGTGTTTAGTTTTGGATGTTGGTTTGTGTTGAATGATATCGGTTATTAGTTATTGCATTTTTATTTTAAGGATTTGGCATATGAGTAAGCCTATGTTAAATAACACCATTTCAGAGTTCTGCCAGTTTTTGCCTAACTCTTATCCTGTAGAGTTTAAAGTGGCCTACACCTTATTGTCTACATATTGGCTAAACAACTTAGGTACGGTACTTTATAAAAGCTGAAAGCCTTTTTACGTTGACTTAATGTAAGCTTACCTTTTCCCGTACATGGGCAGATTGATTGTTAAAAATTAACCCTTTAAACTGGAATAGGACTGTCATGTAAATAGTGAGTATTTCCTTTAGTTAATAATCTTATAGTTGACTCTTTTAAAATCATCAGAAATTATGACTGTTGTTAGTTTTTAAACAAGTTATTTGTTTATAAATAACTCCTGTACTTCTTTGCAATTGCTCGATTTCGAGCAACATGTACACTAGTACTTATTTAATATGCAAGCAGGATTTTTGTGACAATTACTCCTCCGAAACTACTGAACCGATTGTCATGTTTTTGGTGTCATTGGAAAGAGCGTAGCATGAAGTTGTGCAGGAAACTTTCTTTTTAGGGAAATAATGAGAAAGTGAGGCCCTGGAGCCCTTTAAAGTTTCATATTTCTCCATAAGATTAACATTGGAAACAAGAATTGTTATGAAACTCCAGCTGTTGTCAGAAATCAAAAGTGAGAAGAAGAGCATAGGTTAATCCTAAACAGTCAATAAGTTTGCTAATATAGTATTATAACAGTTTGCTACAAATATTTACTTAGCAATTGCTCGAATTCGAGCAACAGGGACACTAGTAATTACATAAATACAATAAAATAAAATGTATAACATAATGTATTTTGTTGTGAAAAACTGACGTGTCATATGTTTACTGGTGATGTATCATAATTATGTAAATTCTATGTGACAAATAAACATTTAATTTCATGTGGTCAAGGTGATTTAGCGGTGTGGTGACACTACAATCCTTTCATTAAACTGTCAGACAAAGTGTTGTGTCAATAATGCTGTATACTGAAAAGCAGTGATTTAATAAAGTTGTATTCATTTTATACAACAAAAAAGGGTTTTCCCAGATTATCTGACCAGCTTTATTCTTCTGGTGTGGGTATTCACTAAATAATCTTTTGTCCCTGCCATTCAGGTTCTCTGGGATCCTTCTTCCAGCTGATGATGACAGTGGGTATCCTGTACACGTATGTGCTGGGTGCTGTAGTCTCATACACTACTCTGGCCATTGTTTGTGGTGTAGTGCCCATTGCCTTCCTGCTCATGTTCTTCAATGCCCCAGAGTCACCTGTCTACCTCATCAGCAAAGGCCGTCGCAGCGAGGCAGAGGCTTCACTAAAGAGACTTCGGGGACGAGGATACGATGTCAGCTACGAGTTAAATGAACTGCAGAAGGAAATTGAGAAATCATCTGGAAATGAAGTTTCATTTAGTGATATTTTCAAACGGAAGGCCGCCTTCCGCGCCCTCATCATCTCCTTGGGTTTGATGGTTTTCCAACAGATCTCTGGTATTAACGCAGTCATCTTCTACGCAAACTCAATTTTTCTAGATGCCGGAAGCACTTTAGACCCTGCCATTTCTACCATCATTGTAGGAGTGATTCAGGTAGTTGTTACTTACGCGTCATCTCTCCTCGTAGACAAAGCAGGGCGTAAAATACTGCTCCTCATCTCAGCCGCAGTCATGGGTATCTGTCAAGGATTACTTGGACTTTACTTCTATCTCAAGGAGAATGGCAACGATGTCAGTAACATAACCATGATCCCACTAGCAAGTGTTGGGCTATTCATTATCATTTTCTCTCTTGGTTTTGGTCCCATACCTTGGATGATGACTGGAGAACTGTTCTCCTCAGACATCAAGGGTCCTTGCACAGGAATGGCTGTTGGCCTCAACTGGTTCCTTGCCTTCCTTGTTACAAAATTATTTGGACCTTTGAAGACCCTTTTGGGATCAGGCATTACATTTGGAATGTTTGGTGTCATTTGTGGAGTAGGTGTTGTGTTTGTTTTGCTTTTAGTCCCAGAAACTAAAGGTAAAAGTTTAGACGAGATTCAGCGCATGCTTGGAGAAGAAGATAACAGGAGGAAGAGTCTTGCGTAGTTTAAATTTTGAAATTAACTGCAATGAGCATAACAGCTAAAGATTGTTTCCTATTAGAAGATAAAATAAAATAGCATTTAATGCCAAAGACTGATAACATCTGTGATTTCAACTGTTATACAATTCACTATAAGGGAAGTTGATGTATATGAGTCTGTTGTAAATAGTTATGTAAATACTTGTTACTCTTAATCCTGAGACGTTTGGACCAATTTAGACTTTTTTGCATTAAAAAACCGGCATGGTATGTTGAAAAATCATACATTCACACATTAGTATTACAGAAGTAATCAACCTTGGTCTATTTATACTATAAGTTTTATTTTTAAATTACTTACCATTACTAATTACAGTTATTAAGTCTGTAGTGCTAGCTAGAAACAATACTGGTACTGTACACCATAATTCTTCAGTTAGTCATGAATTTTTCTTTTTTACTAGTGCAATATCTATTCCTCTTATTGTTGTGAATAGTTATAGTATGTACCATAAAAAGGGTTAAATTTAAAAATTGTAAATTTTTCATAAAGAAAGGTGGTTGATTTGTTTTAATGTGTAGAATTTTCAGGCCTATTTTGTGCAATAAGATGTAAATAACAAATAAATGTGTAGTTAAGTGTGCTGCAGGTAGTGCTTGCATTATTACATATTCTGTATAATCTAATCATAATTTATTGCAGGCCATCAAATTGTTCACAACTATGCTTAGGATTAGTTTTCAGTAAAATAGCCTACAAGTTTTCCCACTCTAAATATATGTTTAACTATTATCTGATTTTGTTATGATAAATAGGCTTATAAACATTTAATGGAGTATTTTTTTAATTGCTCAGAAAATTATTTGTTTAAGAGTCTCAAGGATAAGGATAAAATGTGCTTGTATGGTCTTTGCTGCTTTAGTTATACATTATAAGGTCATACACATGGTATAGGTATACAATTCTAAGAATTTATTTATATACTTGTAAACTATTGGTGATGCTTTTGTTATCAATAAATGTGTATCGCTTTTTAAACCTATGACCAGTTAATCTTTCTTACAAAACCTTGTATCTATTCAGCTCACAAGAGACTACCAGTAACACACCATTTGAAATTTTAAAACTACTATTTTGTCTAAAACTAACTTAACACTAAAAATCTACAGTAGTACTCAAAACAAAATATTACAGACGGCAATTAAAAACATATTAATGTTCAATTCTTTTTACTGGTAAAAAATTAATTGGTTGAAGGATATTTCAAAATTTTAGAAAATGCAATTGGAAAAATAACAGCTTTCCTTAAATATTTTTACAAAATGAGGAAACATTTAATAAGAAAAGATGGATTTAGTGTTTGATTTTCTTACATTTTAATTGGAATATGTTAACTAATTTGTTTTGTTGACGTAAATAAATTTTATATTAGCTTCGAGTATTTTTTTATTTTCTAGAAATGTAGGTAGAACATAGGTAGTATGTTTTATTACATGTTTTATGGGGCATTTTCAGAGGCTAAATTGCTTTACAGTACCGTATCTAGTTTCATTCTTTAGTACCAGGGACTAAGCCTAGCTTGGTAGGAGTTAATGGGCTTCATAGTTGTTAACACAATATTATAAAACATAAACATTTTATAATATACAACAATAGTTATTTGTGTAACAAGTGGGCAAAGTGGCACTTTGCTGCAGAGAGCAATGTTTACGGAATGATCTCGAGTGCAGCAAAGGCCTTTTGCACTCGTGTTACACATTATATTTTTCCTACAGTCACTATAGTGGAATAGAATACAGAATAGGACCGAAACCAGTTCGAGTCGGATGGGGCGGGGCATGCGGCATCCAATCAGCTTTTATAAAACTGTCCACTGTTGCCAAGTTGTGCCACGCACTCAGTCTCTGCCCGATAGCCGACCTGTGCGTTTCTAGTATACCCTCCTGTTTTGTCAAGAATTCGTCTATGAACTGTGTTTCGCCCAATGAATACGGACAACAGTACGTGACGTGGACGACCACGAGTACACGTGAAACGTTTGCGATATCGTAACGTCGGACGTGGTGTTCCTTTACGTAATGCAAATATCTTGATAGGCCTATATAAAAATGTCATTGTCCCTTAAAATTTTTATTTAAGTTTCATACGTCAATATTTTCTTTTGTAAATATTTTTATGTAACACTTTCAAGTGCAATGTAATAATATTTTCTAATAAAAATAGTTATGTCATTTTGACAATAAATTGGCAGTTATGTTATCTATTTCCCTTTTTACCTGGTATGTTTTTTGAGGATTTCTATAGTACCTACATTAGAAGTTTTTTTTTTTGTTATAGAAGAGTGAATATATTGTATGACTATTTTAATGAATGCAACACATAACGTAATGTATGTAAACGTTAGTTCAATTTTCATCTATATAAATAAAATTAGAGTTTTGTCTGTACATTGCTCAGAATTATATAATTTTAGGTTATTTTTACGTTTTATACATTAAAGAAGCAGAAACGAGCCTTATCTCAATTTCTGTCTGTCTGTCTGTCTGTCTGTCCCTTTGTCTGTAACACTCAAGATGGCATTTTACGCAATCTTCTCAGTGAAAACCAGAGTACATATCAAGATCCAAGTCATTTTAATGTATTCACTGGATTGGCGAGAGTGTCTTTAGTGATTTAAATATAGCCTCACTACTTTGTAAATAAAATTACGGACGTTCAAAAATGCAGTTTTGTGCGATTTTTGTCAAAATTTCGTTCAATTTTTATCACATAATCGTCTATGAAATAACTAACAGCTGTTCGGATCAAGATTATTTTTTCTAGCTGTCAATGACATGTTTACAAATGTTATTTACAAATACCGCAACTATTTCGAATCACGTTTTGAAAGCAAATCCCAACCAAGTGAGATTAAAAACGTTTTTCTTACATAACGGATTTAATTAATCGCAAGTGCAATAATATAGTCTAATAGTGTAACCGTAAATGAAATTAAATAACTAGACATCGTCCAAATCGGAACCAGAAATTCTTTGAGTATAAAATGTTTCTTGAGTTTTGACAACCAGAAAGAAGAAGACCTTGAATCAGTGTTGTATAGGGCTGTGACACTGAAATGATCGTCGCCAATAGCTTACAAAAAAGGTTTCCACTCATTGACGGCGCTTCAATGGCGGTTGTGTTAAGTGTAAAGTAAAAAATCACAACTGTAGTGGGTGATTGTAACAGAGGTTTAACAGAGGAAGTACTAAACTCGCTTTTCCTATGTGTCACTTTCTGTTTCTACTCACCGTGTGATGCAATCGCTGGACCATACAGCCAATAGGCCCATAGCTCATATCTTGGGTACGTAAGCCTACATATTTATTCATAACAACCTTTTTGACGACAATCCTTGATACCGGTACTTTTCCATAGAATACATGGCCTACCTACTTAAAAAATAAAATTACAAATGACCAAAACCCCAACATTGTGTGATTTTCGTCACATTTCCTTCTAATGTTAATAGATATACTAATCATTGTTTAGAGAATGCGTAATCTATTAAATAACAAAAAGTTGTTTGGGTAAGGTTGCTTTTTTTTCAAACTGACACCGATAAGTTTACGCTATAACTTTTTACGAGAAAATCCAAAAGCAAGCGATCAATAACCTCGGGACTAGATATTAATGTATTTAATTGGTCCGATTTACTATAGTTCTTAGGTAGGTTCTTACGTAGGTACTGGTTCTTTTCCTTAGAACCGGTAGTTTACAAATTTGATATCGTTGGTGTTGCACCTTATTTATTAGAGCCGCCCGTATTCAATTTAAGTGATTTCTTAACTCTGTATAGTTTTGCTTTTTCTGTCTGGATTCCAAATCTTAGCTTACCTGGTATGCTAAGAAAATGATAACCTATTTGAGTAAAACATTTGTTGGGCAAACCATCATGAATTGTTTACGCCTTTATATTGTTTATGTATCAATAGTTCGTGACCTTTGTTGGATTGTTGTATTGTGTTGTTTTGTTGTATGTTGGTAACGCATTAATGTCCTTATTTCTCAGTGTTTCACGGAATGGACAAGAGCATCTTTGATACTGAAAATGTCAACTGGAATAAAGTGTTAATTGGTGAGGTCGAGGTAGTACTTTAAATACGTTTAAGTTAACCGATGTGGAAATCAACTTTCAATTATAGGCCTACTATAGGGCTACGCTTCATGGATCTATAAAACATTTTTTAGTTTAATCATTGGACATATGGACCATAACGATCCGGGTGACATTTAATTGCGAAGCATTTATTTTGGCTTGAACTGTCAGATACTGTATTTGCGGAGGTTTATATATAATAGTTTTGCCAGCATATCTGCAAATATGCAAACTAATTGCTGTTCTTAATCTTAATATAAGAAGGTTTCAACTGACTACTATAAGATCCCCGTGCGTAGAACGGGCACACAGCTAGTTCAATATAAAACTAACGGTCTTTTTTGTCAAATCACAATATTACAGCAGAAATGTCTTCGTCACTATTGAGCTACCTATTCTCCGTAAGTTTAAGTTCAGTCGAGTGGCAATAATAAGATTAACGGAGTGAGGGTCACAATAGGTGTTCAAAGAAATGCAGCTTTGGGGTAATTCCTAAACATTAACCAACTTCGTTTCCTAAACACAACCAAACTATAGCTGTAAATGTTTAATATGGAAGATTTTACCTTCTTCATTTCCATGTTAATTTGTTTTATGTATCAAAATATAAGCAGGGCAACAATTTACAAGACTTTAGAACTGCTATAAAAGTTTTTGGACCATATGTATTCATTTGCTCTTATTGTTACGGTGATTTGTTTAAAAATTGATAGGCAACATATTTCCAGAGACTTGTAAAGGTGACCCTATATAAAATGTATTTTCATTTTATATTTATTAATTGTATGTTAATATATTTTTCAAAAACTAAATCTAGTAGAGGTTTAAGTCATTAATTGTGCAAATAATCTATCCATAATCATGTAAGGGATGAATGTATCTTCCATGTGATATAAACATGACGACACTAACCGATACCGCCAAAAATTAATAATTTGTAGTGTTAAACTACCCTACAAGTGGGAAGACAGAGTCAGAGGGATGCCCGCGCCCGCTCCCCGGCTCTAGGTGAAAGTCAGCTCACCAGCCAAGAACGAAGTGACAACGTCGCATCCCCTACCTCCTCAGAGGCCAGTCCTATTCTGTATTCTATTCCACTATAAAAAGCATACAAATAATTATTCTTTCAAACACCATACAACACGTTTTTAGGTTCAACTGGCAAAACAAATAGGTGCCCTAGAGAAAGAAGTACCCGGTCCATATCACTCTGCTATTTTTCCCTCGGCAAGAAATGTGTCCGCGACTTGAGAAAATAGTTCCGTATGTTTTTGTAATTTGAAGTGGTTTCCGCGCCTAAAAAAATGCTTTAAAGGTATTTTCTTGTTTATTAAGATCGTAGGAATGTTTTAAAAACGTTTAAAAGAAAAGTCCAGAAAGATCAGAAATACCGAAACTATAAACAGGACAGGTTAAATCGTAGTTATAATAGTCAATCAGCTGCTCATAGTATAATTATCTTTTAGTGTTGCCAACCTATTTCCAAGCGTACACGGATTACGTGCATAATAGAATCACGCTGTTTTGTGTTGTTTCGTTGGAATCCTGATGTGCGCCAAAGTATAAACCGTACGACAGTATAAATATGCAGCAATTAGCAGCTTTCTGTACTATAAACAGTACAAGGAAGCCAACTTTGTCGGGTGACTGTAGGTAAATGTGTTTTTATTAATAATAAAAATAAACAATCACTGGCAGTTCGTCTGGCAATAACAGACACAGTCAACAATACCATAAACAATCACTGAAATAATAATAACCCTGCAAAGTAAAAATATGCAATAAAACAAAATTGAGATAAACATATAGGTACTAACCTACCATAAGGTGCTATGTGTAAAGTATGATTCCCGCCTCTAGTCATTCATTTTTTGCTCACCGAACACAGCACATCCAATGTAAAATATAAAATAAACAAATCATATCGATTTCAAAATAGTGTTTCTTTAATTATTTTATGTAGATCAAATTCGTTATATCTCGGTATGTTTGGTAATTGGTGATAACAATTTTTCTATTACTTCTAAAGAGGTTGAGCTTCTGTTCTTTCATTGGGTTTTCACATACGGTAATAGTTTTATTCCAATTTAAATACCCTGATATAATGAATTGACTTTGAATATTAATTTAGTCCCTAATTCTAAACTTTTTAGTTTAAATCATAAAAAAAATTTTAGTTTATAAATTTTATAAACCTACTCACAGACATAGCTTGTTTTAGAATATAGGATAGGATTACGATATCATTAAAAATTATGTTTTTACCGACTTAGCTGTTTAATGCCTACATATAATTATTTTCCCTTTACATTAGGCACATTAGCATCTCTGTTGCCCATAGTGCAAAACTTAAAGAGAGTGGTAGGTAAAGCACTTTACCTACGACTGTTTTTTTAAAGTAGCTGTTTCAGTACAGTTCTTAGAATTGAAAAGTATCTCATAACAGCATTGTTTACTTTCATAACAGCATAGTTTTACTCACAACAACACGGGTAACGGACCAATGAGGTTCAAGGATTGAGAGAGGAGAAGTAAAATTGTAATGATTCAAAATTCAACTAATCAGCTGTTCAGGCCAATTTAATTGTTGATTGGTGCAATTAGTGTGTTTTGTTGCATCACTGTCAGTGGCAATGGGAGGTTTTAAACGAAAAAATAACCTCTTTTTAGAAATTATGAATAGTGATTTTTAGTAATTAAAACAATGTCGTAGGTAAAGTAGTGTACGCAACTCGTGTAAATAATGTTAACGACACTCGTAGAAGTTTTTAAGGCACTCGCCAAGGCTCGTACCTTAAATTTTCTACTCGTATTGTTAACACTATCTTTACGCAATCATTGCGTAAACTACTATAAAATATTGTAAGTTTTTTTTGTTTAAAACTATAATTTTATTTTTGGCTTCAGTATAAAACGGTATGAATAAATATGAAGAAAGAGTTACAAAGGAACATTGCAAGAGGATGAAATAGATCAATCAACAATCCAGTAGTTGTATGGAATCCTGTCAAACAGATTGTCGATAAAATGCCTCATAGTGACCAACAGCTTCTTCTTGATTGAAGGCTTCATTTCTCGAAGCAGTTCTTGAGCATTAGAGTTGATAAACAGGTTCAGAGCTGCCTCTGAAATACCAGAGCATTACTTAAAAAGTTAAGGGTTAAGCAAATTTATCAGTGTTAATGTAATCCCTATTTCCAACTGTAATTAAACTAGCTTTTACCCACGGGTTTCACCCCGTTTGACTTCATAAGTATTAATAAAACTATTAATTGGTTAAGTTTTTAAGCTGAAATAAACAAAACAGAATACAAACAAATAAACAAATCCGATTTTAATAAGAACCTTTTATTGAAAGAATAACAAATAAATAAGTACAGCTGCAGCTGTACTTATTAAAAGAAATACCTGTTAAAAATACCCCATGGGGTATTTTTAACATTAGGTAGATAGAAAGTTCCCTTTAGAAAGGAATTACGACCATAAGGGCAATTTATGAAATACCGTAATGGATAGTTTTGCGCAAGGTTTCTTGTCATGGATGAACATTTTAAGTATAATGGATTATGGGGCTGTGTCTTGTAGTTTTCTCAAAAGTTCATGGGTAGGTACTTTGGGATTTATATGGATTAAATAAATACAGTATCTCTTAATCTCGGTATTTTTGGGAGCATTTTTGGGAAAATCAGATATTTTTACTTTAAGAAACACAAAAAATCCTAAACACTCTAATCTACTAATAAACTTTGAATTTCAACTAACTTTTTTCTGTGTCAATAAACGTTCAATGTAATATTACCTTATTTTAGCTATAGGAATATTTCAAGCCTATTGGCACCAAAGATTTCCTCATATAATGAACTGATCTTAAAGTTACAACTCACCTAAAACTGCATTTCCATTATGGACGTTTTGTATTCCCATTTGCAAATCTTTCACGCTGAAATCCATCTTTAGGTCTTCTAGTCTCAAGTATTCTTGGCCATCAATAGCTTGAGGGCTTGCTCTGAAATAGACTTTTGCTCTGACCCCCCCTAAAAAACAATTGTAGTCTATTATGTTTTACATTTCTAAATAATTGCTAAGTAAACCAAATTATAATCTGAATGGAAGTAAATTAAAATTTTATTGTTTCAAAAAATAATTTTTAGCAAAGTTTAAACTCCTGTTCCTGACTTAACTAGAACAGCCAGTATAAATATCCAACATGCCAAGCTCTGTGTTGTCTGACTCACCATACTCTCCCCAATAGTCTCCGCCTCCCGTTGCCTGGACCATGATGAGCACCCCTGAGCTGCGGTAGTTAGCTCTAACTGCTATCTTGGGGATGTAGAACGCCAACTGGAACTGCAGACTATTGAGGTCTGACCTGCACAAACACAGCCTAAATAAACACCTGCTTATCATAAGTTAGTTTTTCCAACCGAGGCTTAGGCTTAACACTCCACAAGTAACTTTAATTTTAATACACAAGACATGACTCATAGAGTTATGAGTAACAAGTAGAGCACAAGGGGTGACACTCGTAACTAAAATCCGGACTCGCGAGAGATGATCACAGTGGGGGGTTTGCATGTTAAACAATTTTTTAAGATTTTTACTTGATGTAAGGGGAGTGGGCCAGAGTTTATAGTGTGAAGTGAGGTCAAGTAGGAACAGGAAACCAAGCCTGAGGTTCTGAGACTTCTATGACTGCCAATTGGTGAAAACATGTTTTTTAACTAAAGTACAAGAAAGAGCCTAGAGGAAAACTATTTGTATCACCTCTCAATCAATCAAATACTGTAGCAGACCAAATGACATAGGTGGGCATATCATCTTCTCTATAGCCGTCAGAACCAAAGCCTAGAAGTTTATGTATAGTTAATCTTACCTTACACCAGTGACGGTGAGGTTACTGACACCAAAGGCCTCGATGTTGCGGAAGGTGGCTCTATAGCCATCAGGCCCGGAACCCAACGCCAGATTGATTTCATCAATTGTTATAGGTTCCACCTCTGTCACACCTAACTCAGGAATACCTAAAATAAAGTGTAAATTATTAAAAAAAATAATAACACTCGCGTTATGTAGCATTTCGGTAGCGTGTGGAGTGGACTGTATTTATAAGTTAAGCGGAGTTTGATTCTTCAAATTAGAACACTGAGATACAATTAACAAATAGTTTTAATATTAACAAATAAACTTTCAATTTCACAGAGCTTTACATTTACATTACAAAAGAGAGAGAGGAATCTTGAGTCTTGATGTGTTTGTTTTCAACTAACAAAATTACTAATAAATTATTTCATTGTTAAATCACATATGTTGTTTTAAACATTAAAACAAATTAAAAACCAATGTCATCTGTATTTATTTTTAGTTGATAGAAAGCATTATTATAATAAAGTTAATTATACTGAATATTACTGAACATACCCCCGCCCGTGAACCACTAAGAGAGGTTCACCTAATAATTGAGAGAAAAAAAAAATTATTTAGAAATGAACATATTTACAACATACTTTTGGTTAACAGTCTAACTTCTTTCGTTATCATTCATCATTGATTGGGAGGGGTGAGACTTTAGTTATAGGTCTGGAGAGTGTTCCTGATGAAGTTTTTAATTGTACAACTTGTACAAGACCATCTTGCCCTGGGGAAGTTGAAATGACTCGTCCCATTCGCCATGAAAGGGGAGGTTGGTTTGGTTCATGCAATAGGACAAGATCTCCAATTTTGATGTTAGGTTGAGGACTTCTCCATTTCCCTCGTTGTTGCAACGTGTAGAGGTATTCCTTTTGCCATCTTTTCCAAAAACTTTGGGTTAATGCTTGAACAAACTTCCACCTTGACAATCTGTTTGTTGAGACATCATTCCAGTCAGCTTCGGGAAGAGATAAAAGAGGTCCTCCAATCAGAAAATGACCTGGAGTTAAACAATTAATTTCGCTGGGGTCAGATGAAAGTGGGCTTAAGGGCCGTGAATTTAGAATTGCTTCGATGCGAGTTGTTAGTGTGATGAACTCTTCAAGAGTAAGAATCTGTTCACCTATGACTCTCCGAAGATGGTGTTTGACACTGCGGACAGTTCTCTCCCAAAGGCCACCTTGGTGCGGAGCTGCGGGAGGTAAGAAATGAAATTTAATGTTGTTTTCCATGGAAAACTTACTAAGAGCTTCTTGAGTTTCTTTCTGGACGAAAAAATTCTTAACAATCTTTTGAACTTCATTAGCGGCACCTACATAATTTGTTCCGCAGTCCGAGTAGATGTTGCTACACAACCCTCGTCGAGAGACAAATCTTGTCAATGCTGCTAGGTAAGCTTCGGAACTGAGATCTGTAACAACCTCTAAATGTACAGCCTTGACAGAAAAACAAATGAAGATACAAACGTATACTTTGATTGGACAGGACTTCCTTAATTTGCAAGGTTTAACTGAGAATGGACCTAAAAAGTCCGTCCCGCAGTTGTTGAACACTCTTGAGGGTAGGACTCGTTGTGGAGGAAGATCTCCCATTTTCTGAGTTGTTGTCTTAGGATTGCATTTGAAGCATCGGATGCACTTGTAAACTCTTCTTCGAATAACACTTCGAGCAGATAGGATCCAAAACTTCTGAGATATAACGGCTTGTAAAAACTGAGGTCCAGCATGCAAGTGTTTCAAATGGTAATGATCAACGATGAGATTGGTGACATGGTTAGTTTTGGGCAAGACAATAGGGTGCTTTGCAGCGTAGGATACTTGAGCGTGCTTAAGGCGGCCTCCAACACGAATCAATCCATTTTCATCTAAGAAGGGGGAGAGAGACTCAAGACGGGAGGAACAAGGTTTTCCAGCTTTAAATCTAGAAATATCTTCAGAAAAAACTGTTTGTTGAATCATTTTACAGATAGTGATTGTTGCTTTATCAAGCTCTTCAAGCTTTAAAACCCCTGATTCTTTAACCTGGTTTTTTAGGTTATTTTTGAAGCGTAGAATGTAAGCGATGACTCGCTGGAGGGTTGACCAAAATGAAAATCTATTGAATAAGTCTGGTTTTTGAGTTGTAACCATTATTGGTAAAGGTTCGGTCTTACGTTCTGGCAATTGTTCGTCTTGGAGAGGGGTGAAGCGAGGAATAGGCCATGATTCCTGATCCAGAGATAACCAATTGGGACCGTTCCACCATAAACTGTTGTCTTTCATAGAAATGGGAAGGGTTCCTCTACTGGCAATGTCAGCTGGATTACAATGAGTTGAGACATGTTTCCATATGTAAGTAGGAGTAAGTTCTTGAATTTCTGAGACTCGATTTGCAACATAAACTTTTAAGCGGTAGGGTACAGTTTTTATCCATGACAAGACTACAGATGAATCACACCAAGCATGTAATTCGTTGACAAGATAATCTTGAGAGAGTAGACAGTTGCAATAGTTCAGGAGTTTGGACAAAAGATGGGCACCACACAATTCTAGTCTAGGGATGGAGATCTTCTTAAGAGGAGCTACTCGAGCTTTGGCAATTAACAGATGTACGTTGATTTCTCCGGAAGAACTTACACATCGCAAGTAGACACAAGCTCCGTAACCTGTTTCAGACCCATCACAAAATCCATGTAAACTGATATGAACAGCATCAGCTACGGAAACATATCGAAGTAAGCTAAGTTCGCTTAAGAAAGGAAGTTGTTGGAGGAACTTAGATCATTTTTCAGTTAGATCCGGAGGTACAGGCGCATCCCATGATAAACCTAGTGCCCATAAAACTTGTATCAACGCTTTTACCCAAAGAGTGACTGGAGTCAACCAACCGTTTGGATCAAATATTCTGCTAACTGTTCCAAGTATACCTCGTTTAGTGGGAGGTGTATCTGGGATATTCAACTGATAAGAGAAAGTGCTGTACATAAGACAACCATTGTTCTGGTGAACCATTGAAAGTTTTGAGAGATAGAGGAGGGAGTTTTAGAGAGTGGCTATCTTGGTTTGAGGAAGAGCTACTAGGCCTAAGTAAGGGGTAGGCTACTTGATGGAGTATTTGGTATTGAGTCAGTATTTAGAACTGGCCTATGACTTGTAGGATCTTGAGATAGGTGTTTCTTCGTGAGAGTTTGAATTCCTACACATAAATCAGATATAGTATCGTGTAATTGAAAGAGTGTATCTTCTTCATAATCATCGGGAAGCGTGTCACTATTGAATAGTTTCTCAAGGGAGGTTTCAAATTCTGAGTATTTTCTTAGTGTTTCTGAATCTAAGAGTTTCAACTTATTTATTTGTTCTTGGGACAATTCAGGTAATAGGTACATCTAAAGCTTGGATGTTAGTTTGGATTTTGGCTAAACGATTCGCAATTGAGTTTAATTGCCTAGAGAGGGTGACGAATTTCATTGTTTAAGTGTTTGGGAACTGGAGTGAGAGAGAGAGATTAGAGGTTGTCAATGTTGTCATTATCGTCTGCAATACGAGACACAGATAACAGATGGCATTGTTACATTAGCGCTTTTAGTGGTTGCTATGAGCATTACAAAATACCAAATTGTACAGTTTGATACAAATTGAAATGTCAATTAATAAATTACAACAAAAACAATACTGTATGCATAAAATAGAGGAATCAAAGTCCTTTAGATATTGACCTTTTAGATCTACAGTAGTCTTGATAGTCTTCTTACTTCTTACTGATGAGAAAGGAGTGAGTAGTTCATTTTTAAGGTTGCAAGTTGGAGTTTGAGTAGAATTAACTAATTGTGACTTATAGTTACCAAAAGAGCTGAGTTTCAGATGATCTGCGGCCGAAGGACCATGTAGAATTTCGGTAGCGTGTGGAGTGGACTGTATTTATAAGTTAAGCGGAGTTTGATTCTTCAAATTAGAACACTGAGATACAATTAACAAATAGTTTTAATATTAACAAATAAACTTTCAATTTCACAGAGCTTTACATTTACATTACAAAAGAGAGAGAGGGATCTTGAGTCTTGATGTGTTTGTTTTCAACTAACAAAATTACTAATAAATTATTTCATTGTTAAATCACATATGTTGTTTTAAACATTAAAACAAATTAAAAACCAATGCCATCTGTATTTATTTTTAGTTGATAGAAAGCATTATTATAACAAAGTTAATTATACTGAATATTACCATAGATAAAACATACTTGGTTAGTCTATGATATTACTGAACACGTTATTATTTTTAAAACATAATAACAAAATATATTCAGAGTTTTATAGGAAATGAATTGCAAGTCATTTTTATGAATTTATGTCTCTAATGACAAATTTAGATTTTTTTTAAAGTGTATATATGATACTGTATGTGACAGAAATGAGAATAATTACCTGAAGGAAAGGCAGAGTATAAAATAATTATAACACTGTAAAGTATCCAATTTTATTTTGTTCTTTCTTTCAGAGTGTGTTTACTACCAAATCATAGATTTTTTAGAGAACTTTAGTGCAAACCTTTTGTTATATCACATTTTTACTAACTGATAGCCCACTAACACGTATCATCTGGGTCTACAATCAACCTTGATGCTTGGGATTGAACTAGTAAACTTCAGATTTGAAGGGAAATACTATAACCACTCACTACTCAGATAACAATCATAATGTTATCAGCTTAACTCTTTACATAGGTACTTTTGGTACAGTAAAAGTTAATTTACTTACCTCTCCTGAAGTTCATTGCTAGATGGTTTGCAGCATATGTGAGACATTGGTTTATATTTGGATCTGACCTCGAACATGGATGTAAGTAATAAGCTGCAAAAATAAAATACATCAACAACAACTTGAATATCATATCAACTTTCCTATAGAAAATTGGGTAATTTTTTTACCCATATGGTGAGATTTAAATGCCTGCGATCATAATAGAAGTTCAGTTAATCAAGTTTATGACACTCTGGCCATGTTTTTGAGGGTTTGTTCAACATATTTATGTACCTATCTTGCCTTTTTAAAGGCTTTTATCCAACAAATTACATTTTTTGGCTCCAAATAGTTTTTATATACTATTTGGCTTTGTGTACCTATTATAAAATCAATATGACTCTGACTTTTACCAATGTTGAATGTTAAAAATATTTATATACGGTGAAGTGTAGGTTAAAGTTAGTTATCAAATCACATTTCTTGATTTTTAGGAATTAATTTGAATGAATATTTTCTGCAAAATCTATACTTATAAAAGTCAAATGCCATTCACTGATCACTATATCCCAAAAGCTACAAGCCATAAAAACCTAGGAATTGGCATGAAGGTTCCAATTAACTTCTAGGTGTGCAAAAGAAGAGTTTTCAAGAAATTCCATCAGGGCTCTGTCCCAGTACTAGAGTCTCAGTTTCCTGGTCAGGATGAGAACCTCTTCTGTGAAGGAGTGGAGGAAAGTGGGAGAGCTCCTTATGTCGATTCAAGAAAAAACATAAAAATTTATTTTATATTTTTTGAATTACAAAATTAGTTTTTTAATTATAAAATTAACTTTTTAGTTATAACATTAATTTTATAATTTTTAATTATAAAATTAAACTGTCATAAATTAACCTACCCAACCAAACTTGCTGATAATATAAATACCCCCGCCGCAGCAAACCTGCAGACTAAGCAAATTTCCATTTACCTGGCTGGCTTTCTACTAAAATATTCCCCAAAAATCGTCAGATTTATTTCCTATTTAAAAAACATTATTTTTGTGAGTACTTAGGTTTGCTGCTACAGGGAAGATATTGAGGTGTGTTTTTATTGCAATGTTAATAGCTTAGTATGAAATAAAAAAAATTCCAAATTTGGTTGAAATATATCCATAAACAACAGTTTATTTATTCTCCATAAGAATAACATGGGAATTTTAAATATACAATTTGTTAAATTATCTCCGTAACCGTTGGGCATACAACAATGCTTAAACATACAAAATTATTTCTTTTTTTAAGCTTTACAAAATGATTTGGAGAGAAATTATGAAATTTTGTGTTATTAGGGTCAAAAGTGAGACAAATAATTTTTTTACCCCATAAACCCCTGTTCCCATAGTCCGATATTATGCTGGTTCGCAAACTCACTCGAATAAATGTAGGTTTACACGTTTGTACCAAATTTCATCAAGATCGGATCATTTTTGCTCAAGTTATCGCGCTAACGGACATATATATATATATAAATATACAGAGTGAGTTTTAAATGAGTTCCCCCCTACTTTTTTTACATTTCTTAAGATATCGACTTCGGACCACGTCAGATCACTGTAGAGAAGCAAGTACTTAATTTTGACTGAGTATACATTTTTGGCCACCATCTTGGGTCCACCATATTGGATACAGAGTTTTTTTCAAATGTAAAGGTAGGGTTGTGACCCATCGTTTCAAACTAGATTGTTATGCTGAATACGATGCTGCAATCCGTTTAAAAAAATCTTGATCCATTCTAAATTTATGAGAACTCTTTATAACTTAATTTTTAGCCCATTTTAACATTGGGCATTTACAAACCAAGACCATAATCGCAATATTGTGCTAGGTAAAGATAAGTATACACCACCAGTCATTGTCAACCTATATTAACTTGGTTATGACGGATGTATTTTTTTTTTGGCCGCCACCTTGGATCCGCCATTTTGTAATGAGATAAATTACCTATTTAAAATATGAAGGTGGTGGTATGACCCATAATTTTGAATTAATTTTTTATGCTGAACTCAATGCCACAATCCGTTTTTTGTTATCAAGCTTTCTTGATGAAATATTACAATTATTTTATTTCAAATGTCAATATTTCAAAAACAAAATAAGAAAATGAAAAATGGATTTCACCATTGAGTTCAGCATAAAAAACTAATTCAAAATGATGGGTCACAACACCACTTTCATATTTAAAATAATTTATCTCATTTCATAATGGCGGATCCAAGATGGCGGCCGAAAAAAGTACACCCGTCATAACCAAGTTAAAATAGGTTGACGATGAATGGTGGTGTGTACTTATCTAGCACTATTTTGCGATAATGGTCTTAGTTTCTAAATGCCCAATGTTAAAATGGGCTAAAAATAAAGTTATAAAAAAGTTCTCATAACTTTAGAATGGATCAAGATTTTTTAAAACGGATTGCAGCACCGTATTCAGCGTAAAAATATAGTTTAAAACGATGGGTCACAGCCCTACCTTTACATTGAAAAAAAAACTTTGTATCCAATATGACGGATCCAAGAATGTGGCCAAACATTTATACCCAGTAAACATGAAGTATTTACTACTCTACAATGATCTGACATGGTCCGGAGTTGATATTTTAAGAAATGTAGAAAAAAGTAGGGGGGGGGGCTCATTTTAAACTCACCCTGTATATATATATTGCTGTATATAAACTAATTAGCTAAAATGTATATTTACGTAACCATTTGCTATAGTTTTGGGTTTTGTGGCATCAATAAGAGGTACAAAATGAAATATATCAGCGTGTATATCTGATGTGTTTTATACATGTGATGCAGCGGTACTAGAGTTACGAAATTTATTTATATATATGAATTTGAACAGATTGTGTTTTTGGCCTCTGGGGACATCAAAACGAATTAGTAAATCGGTCCCGGGTCTAGGTCTTACCATGAGACCTAAAGTAATAGGTTATTCCCTATATGAGAAATTCGCTAAAAAGATACAAGATAAAAATCGAATGAAGGTTTAGTAATTAAAAAAAAATATTTCTGTTCATAAAATAAAATTATAAATGCTTCAAATTCTAACAAGAGATGTACAGTTAATAAGTAATCGCATTCTAAGCAAAATATGTGACAAAAAGTTAATGCCACCGGTGGGATTCGATCTGGATACCTCATCAGTTGAAGTAAATTACAAACTAAAATTAAAAAGTTAATGTTGTAAATGAAGACGTTTTCCCTTAGTTTCAACTTACCCTACTTAGTCATACATGCTAAACTAAATTAAGTGATTATATACAGGGTGTTTCAGAATTCGTATCGGATATTTTAGGGTATTGTTCCTGGGTAAAAAACAAATTAAAATATTATATTTAAATTGACCGAAAGTCCTTAGTTACTCACACAGCCGCCATTTTGTTTTTTCGCTTATTAATTGTTTTCTAAAAAAAATGTAAGAGATACAAAATTGAAACTTTGCAAAAACATTTATGACAACTAGACAAAGCTACAAAAAAATTATGAACATTTTTAAAATCCATAAAACAAAATGGCGGCCTTTTAAAAGTTTGTTTCTTAAATTACTCAAAAACCGCCGAGTTTACAAAAAATTCACAAGAATAACTTTTTTAAGATAATGTAATTACAAATCGATATTAAACCCTAACCTTTAGGATTGGATGAATATTAACTGAGTTATGGCAGCTTTAGTAATACGTGACCGCTGAAGGTTAGATGTAGTGCATGCCGAGGCATGCGGCCTAGTCTGCCACAACAATGCAACAGTCTTCGTCCGCTTTGCAAGTTATTTTTAAACGATTTTAGATTATTTAAAACAACAATAAAATATTACATAACCCCAAAAAAGTATTTTTTGTTATCAATTATCAATCATTAGGAATGGCTTAAAAATTGCACAGCTTTTTACTGTTTTTAAAATTCACACTTAACACCCTAATTTTTTAAATCAGCTGTAGTGAAAGTCAACGCACTTGTTTACAAACTAATCAGCTAATTTTATTTTGTCTGAAGATGTTATTGTTTATTCAATGTAGTCAGTACCTCTATCCTTATACAGTGAGAGTACACTTTAAAAGTAAGTGTAAAAAGTTAGAGGAACTGACTACATTGAATAAACAATAACATCTTCAGACAAAATAAAATCAGCTGATTAGTTTGTAAACAAGTATGTTTAATTTAACCACAACTGATTTAAAAAATTAGGGTGTTTAGTGTGAATTCTAAAGACAGTAAAAAGCTGTGCAATTTTTTAGCCATCCTAATGATTGATAATTGATCAAAAAAATACACTTTAGGGGTTATGTAATATTTTATTATTGTTTGAAATAATCTAAAATCGTTTAAAAATAACTTGCAAAGCAGACGGAAACTGTTGCATTGTTGTGGCAGACTTAGGCCGCATGCCTCGGCATGCACTACATGTAACCTTCAGCGGTCACGTATTACTAAAGCTGCCATAACTCAGTTAATATACATCTAATCTTAATGGTTAAGGTTTCAATTGATTTGTAATTAAAGTATATTAAAAAGGTTTTTCTCGTAAATTTCTTGTAAACTCAACGGTTTTTGAGTAATTTAAGAAACAAACTTTTAAATGGCTACCATTTTGTTTTATGAATTGTAAAAATGTCCATAATTTTTTTGCAGCTTTGTCTAGTCGCCATAAATGTTTTTGCAAAGTTTCCATTTCGTATCTCTTACCATTTTTTAGAAAACAATTAATAAGCGAAAAAACAAAATGGCGGCTGTGTGAGTAACTAAGGACTTCCGGTCAATTTAAATATGATATTTGGATTTTTTTCTTACCCAGGAACAATACCCTTAATAATATCCGACACGAATTCTGAAACACCTTGTATAAATGGATTTAGCCCTAATATGTTTTTTTAAATATTTTGTTGGCCTATCAGATTAAACATTTAACTTTTTAATTTAAATTTTCGTTAGCGAAGCCAAACGGGTTAGCTATACTCATATAGTTGGTTGTATTGTATTAATTAACCAGCTAGTCTTCAAGTGGGCCTATAGTGACTAGACTTCAAGCTGATCTGTGTCAGTAACACATCTCATCCATTCAACGATTCAACACTCATCCTTACTCATCTTCGCCCTGAAATACTCACCCTGGTGTTTCTGTTGATGCTTTTTACCCCTATTCAACATCAACATGATGCACCCGGTACTAGAGTTACGATATGTTTATAAATTAAATTTATCCAACATCAAAATGCACTTCTAAAATTGAAAACAGTACATCAGTGAAGATATCAAATTACCTTTTAAATGCATTAGAAGGAAATTAATTTATTGGGTACAAACACTAAATTATATAATCCACCCACCAGCTTATATATTTCATTTTGTACCTCTATTGATGCCACAAACCCAAAAACTATAGCAAATGGTTACGTAAATATACATTTTAGCTAATTCGTTTAAAACATTCGTTTGTAGAGATAAAGGGTGTTAGATTGTACTTACGCGTGTTTGTCTGGTATAACCTTTGGCTGTTGACCCCTCGACCAGCTGATATACTGTAGACAACAGTGTAGGAGAGAACAGTGACTAGCGCCGCTGTCAAACCCATCTGTAACATGTGATTGTGTTGTTGTGATTGTTTATAAACGTGACAATGATAAACGCGGTCCTAGTCTTCAACAACTACGGTAAGCCTAGACTTATGAAATTTTACACCCACTATCCAGAAGTGAAACAACAGCAGATTCTAGCGGACATTTTCCAAGCTGTGTCTCAGAGAACTAGTGATAACTGCAACTTCATAGAGCGGAGTTGTCGGTTGGGAGACGACCTGAGGATCATGTACAGACACTTCACTACTCTGTACTTCGTGTTCTGCTGTGACGCGTCCGAGTCGGAGCTCGCGATCCTAGACCTGATCCAAGTGTTCGTGGAAGCGCTAGACAAGTGTTTCAAGAACGTGTGTGAGTTGGACCTCATCTTCCACGTGGACCGCGCGCATCACATCCTAGATGAGATCGTGATGGGAGGCGTCGTTCTGGAGACGGACATAGACGAGGTGATTACGAGGTACGAGAACCAGAGACAAGCCGAGTACAACGAGAACAGAGTGACTCCAGTCATCTCCATGCCATCCATACCTACCATAATCAGGGACCGACTACCTAGCCTGCAGGACTTCAAGATGCCGGACGTGGCCTACGCAGTGCGTGACATCGGCGGCTTATAACACTTTGTTTACTGTTTGTTTTTTTATAATGTTTGATAAATAATAATAGTAGCCTACAGCTTTTATAATCGATGACTAACCTAATCTACTGTCGATTCCTAATAACTACACATCTTATTTATACAAAAAATAATTACGGTGACATAGAGGGGTGAAACAGTGAAGTTGTATCCAATAGTCCGTAGTACAATGTGGATCCAAAAGGAGAAACCCTTCTTTCCCAATTTCAAGGTAACCCTTGGGAAGTGAAGCCTCCAAAGGCACATAAGAAAGCCTTTCTTTTTGGACTGTACAATATAATAAAAGGTGTGTTTTGTCTGATAAATCCTAAACATATATGTGTATTGTTAATCGTTTATTTCACCACTAGGGCGTAATGTGACTATTTTCGACTCGAGTTCAAGTTTAACGGTCCAGGCGAAGCCGAAGTCGGAAAAAGAGCGAGAGTTGAACGGATACTTTTTGCCCGTGTGATGAACGATATTTTTCGTCATACATCGATTTACATACTTTTGATACATGTTATTGCTTACAATCGAGGCTTAGAACTGTGTTTATAATAGCTGACTTGTACACCCTAGGTACTAAAGAGGCTTTTACTCCCTAGGGAGTAAAATAACTACTTTAGAACCGCAACACGCATGTATTCAAAACGGTGGTTTGCTGCAGTTTGACGAAAAGTAGATGAAAGATTAGCCTTGTAATATAATTTTATTTGTATAATATTTAATCACAGTTTAGTTTTGTAAAGGATTCGATCTTATACTTTAATTATTGTCCCTGCAGTGATGTTTAAGACACACTGACGCGAAGTTCTGTGTTGACATTGACGAGCGCCTCCCTCGTCACCGAAATACCGTTTTTGACACAGAATGTCATTAGCGACTCATCAGTATTGCTTTACGTTTGAAAGAGAGTGTCCTCCATAAAACAACATCGTGTAGATGGACGTGTTATTTTTAGCATATCATATGTCGAAGGCTGATTATACATGTACGGCATTCTTTAGTTATCCATGGAATCTTTGAATAAAACGTCGGTTGTTTCGTTTATCAAGATTTAATGTTTTTAAGCCATTTTGTAGTCAGTCTCTACAGTGTGGTTGTAATGATGCCACTCTTTACATTAGATAACTTCATAACCCTCCGTCCGAATTTGGTCCAATCCGTCAACCAAAACTAAACAAACCCAAGCTGAAAACCATAAAATTTACAAAGTAAACACATGTAAACTTTTCATCTAGAATCTTTAGTATCTTTAACATCTTATAATCATTATAGATAGGTGTCTAGAGGGTATGATGCAGATTAAATTTGTTTTTAGTGTAGGGGAATGAGGGGAAATAACAAATATTAAGTAACATTTTGCAAGCACGGTGTTATGTTTAACTTTTAGTTATTGATCAAGACACGAACATACAAAACACTAAGTGAAAAATATATTAATAAAACATCAAAATGTACTTGTAATAAACCTTGACAGCAAAAGTGTGACTTTCAGTCTAAAAGAAACTCAATCTCGACCTCCAGTTTTTTTTTAGGTAAATCTGTTAAAACTTCCTTTGTCTGTTAATGCTGGTAGAAATAGTTTACAAATTAATATCGAGTGTGTTTTTAGCGAATTTCCCTATAGGGAAGTAGCTATTACCGTAGGTGGCACGGTAAGACCTAGACCCGGGACCGATTTACTTTTTCATTTTGATGTCCCCAGAGGCCAAAAACACCATTCGTTCAAATTTTTATATATGTATATATATATATATATATATATATATATAAGTCCGTGAACGCGATAACTTGAGTAATTTTTGTCCGATTTTGATGAAATTTGGTTTAAAAGTGTAAAGCGGGATAAACTTGAATGAGTTCGCGAACCAGCATGATCGGACCATGGGAACGGGGCTTTACGGGGGGTTTTATGGGGTAAAAATTGGTTTTTCTCACTTTTGACCCTCAAAACACAAAATTTCCCAATTTCTCTTTAGACCTTTTTAAAGAGCTTAAAAAAACAATTAATTTAGTATATAAAAGTATTTTTGTTCGGTTAATAGTAACGGAGAAAATTTAAAAAATCGTAAATTTAAAATTCCTATGTTATTCTTATGGAGAATATTGTAAAATATTGTAGTTTGCTTGTTTATGGATATATTTTGTATTTTGATCAAATTTATTTATTTTGTACTAAGCTATCAATATTTTACAAAAAAACACACTTTATTAGTTTCCTTGTAGCAGCAAACCTAGGTACACTCGTTAAACTTAATGTTATTAAAATATATTTAATTGAAAATCAATTAAGACAAATGGAAATTCGCTTAGTCGGCAGGTTTGCTGCGGCGGGGGTATTTTATGTTAGTATATAGTTAGCTATTAGTTAACATATTTTGAAGTTGGGGGAAAAACCTAAAGAAATAAATCGTGGATCCTTATCCTTGGAAGTAAAAGACAGTAAGTTTAATCGTACGAATATATATATGTAGGCTATAGTTAGCACTATCTCTCCAAATATAAAATAACAATAGTTGATTCTCTACAACGCCAGTTAGTAGAAGTAATAATACAAAAAATAACAATAGTTTGGGAAGCTTTCCCAAAAGCGTTTGAATTACACGCACACTTTCTCTACAGGGTTGTACCCTGTTATCACCGCGTTTTATATTAAATTTTATTAAACCAAGAGACCGAGCTTTGCTCGGATGGAATTAAACATACAATTTATTAGATAAGTTAGTTAGCTAAATTAAAGGTATTTTTTGTGAACGAATCAATGTGAACAATTTTTAGATGATATAAGAAATCGTTTTCAGCCTCTATGGAGTAAAAATCAGCTGATGTCAACTCAGATATAAATTTCGATTGTAAACAATCGCATGTAACGAAAGTATATATCATTTGTAGTAGTTTATTGTTGCCTTATTGCAAATAGTTTGACATATCGATAGTATAATGTACACTAACCCAATCGACGAAACGGTTGAATCTTTCACTAAACAGCTGCTTGTTTCCGTTAGCCTATCAAATTAAAGTGAAAACAAGTTAGATGTAGTTTAGTTTTTGAGGCTACTTTAAATGAAAACTGTTTAGTTTTGTAAGGTCGTTTCTTCAAATAATGATGCAATATGACGAAAAATATAGTATATCACGGGCAAAAAGTGTCTTTTCAACCCTCGCCCATTTTCCGACCTCAGCTTCGTCTCGATCGTAAAACTTTACCTCGGGTCGAAAAGTGTCACTTTAAGCCCTAGTGACGAAATATATATATATACTATAATACACCTTTATAAATACATATAGATTGCAATAAAAATTGTCTGTATCAGCTGTCTTTATTAACTGGAGCTACAAAAAGGTGTTGGTGATAACATGGGCACATTCAAGGGCTGTGCTGTAGGGCGGAAACTGGATTTTTCCCAGCTTTGAGACTAACTCCAATCGATTTCTCGTAGCCAAATACTCCATAATGAAAAAAAATATCCTTGGACTAAAAAAAAATTTTGTTCGTACGCGTGCTTATTTTAGAGTAGAGGAATAGGATAGGATTTTTCTAATTAATACGAATTCAATAATAATCATCTATATATTAATTTGAAACTGCTTTTCTTTGTGACAGCTATTTTGAGAGAACGGCTGGGCGTAGAAACTCGGTAGAGGTGTCTAAAGAAAGGTCCCGGTCTGTAGATGAGCCATCAAAAGAGAAACATAGAGAATTCCCTCGGGGCTCTGCCCCAGTGGCCTTTAAATTCCCATCCCATGTTATTCTTATGGAGGAAAACGAGGTTTTTGTCACAGCTAATTTGAGAGAACGGCTGGGCGTAGAAACTTGGTAGGGGTGTCTAAAGAAAGGTATTGGTCATTAGGTGAGCCCTCAAAAGATAAACGAGGTAAATTTCCTTTAAAGTTCACTCTGTAATTTTGTTTACATTTCGGCCATATGGATAATTTTACACTACTTTTAATGAACCAGCTGTTAATATTAAAATTGTATTCAAAGGTCTACTGAAACTGTCAAAATTAAATGTTTACATTATTATTTATGATTTTAAATGGATTCTCCACTGCATGGCAAGTTTTTTATAGTTTCAACAAAATAATGAATTTATGATACGTTTTAAATTTTTTGTTCAAAAATATATGGTTTATTGCTCATAGAAAATTTTAAATTATGAAATAAGTGTGACATATCAATTTCAAAGTAACATATAACTTTCCTTATCGGGTTAGCTTATATATATTGTAAGGTTGGCACTTGCATTTTTTTCCTACTTTCAATCACCATTTATTTTTAAATTCAAAAAAGAACACCTGAGATTCACTTATTGGTATAAAAGGTTTTGATAATCGGGTTGAAAATTGTGTCATAGATGAGTAAGTTGAGGATGAGAGCTGTGTTCAAGTTTTGGAATAGACTAACTACGGAGTCTATGGTTTTGGTAAAGTAGGTGAACTAATGTCAATTCAGGTATTAAAAAAATGTGTACACAGTTTTTACTTTGATGTACACATGTAGCTAGGTCGAACAACGCATCTAAACCTCACTACATACAAAACATTAAGAAACACAACTGTGTCATCACATCTCATCACATTTGCATATATTTGTTACCAAGGCTGGACTAGGTTATGGATTTGGTTCCGCAAATGTTCAAGATTTGTGGTAAAATTTCCTACAATTATGGTTAATTCCAATTCACAAAATACATCCACAGCTTTATGTGATCTATATGGCCAAGGCAAAACTACCCCACAAGTTAATGAATTACCAAGTAAGAACAGGATGATTAAATACATGGGTCGATGTGGCAAGAGAAGGAATTAATAAAATTGCTGAGATCGAAGTAAGAATGTTACTGCTTTCTGGAGAATCAGATATTTTTATCAAACAAAAAAAAAACTGATTTAATATGCTGATAGAATTCTGTATTTTTATGACCAAAGATGAAGATTACTTATAAATCAAGATACAATCTGAATGATTTTCCTAAAGCAGGTGGAATTAGTGGTTAGTAATAAAATTGACTCTTTCCGTAACATGATTAACTAATTGCATGAACTCATTC